AAATCATTCAAACATTTTCTGACATAATGTGCATAGGTAAACTACTTCAAAACAAGTAAAAAATATATTTTCAGTTTTTTTGTTAATTTTTTTTTTTTAAACTTTTTTTTTTTTTATAGAGGCATGTTTTTATTTATTTATTTATTTGTTCGTTTGTTTCGTTTATACATGCACTGGGTACAGTCAGAAGCGCGGGAGGGTGAGAGAATTCACCAGAGCCAGAGCAGGGAGCAGAGCAGGCAGAAGGACCGAAGCACACTGCTGAGGGGAGCAGCGGGCGGCAGGAGAGGTCTGCGCGCCATGTGGGACCCTCCTCTGGTGGCCGGGGAGCAGCCGGGAATCGAACCGGCGCTGCAGAGGCTGCGGGCAGCTTCGCAACCCAGCGCTCAACCGCTGCGCCACCGGGGAGGCCCTTTGTTAATTTTTTATTATTTAATTCTTTGCTAAAGATTCCAGCTCTTTTAGATTTTATAATGCTTTCAACAGCCTCATATAAAAATTTATTGACAATAGGCATGTTCACATAATTTTGTTGCATGCCAGAAATATGCCTAAGTATATGCAGCAACTGAGAAAATCTCTTTATGCCATTCAGAAAATTCTTGCCATTCGTCAGAAGTACAAGAAATGCAAGCAGGAAACAATTTGCAATTCATTTAATAATCAGTTTCAGCATGAGATATATAGGGTTTAGAGGACAATATGCTGTCATTATCTAAATGACTCCTTTTGAAGTGGATTTTTGTGAGCTAATATGTAAATTTGATCCTACATTTAGAAATAAATGTGATGGACTTAAACATCAGTAATAGTCTGACTTAGCAACAATAAACTGATGGTTAGTGAACAATAAACTGATGGTTATTCATATGCCTAATTCTGAATTCATATTCACAGATTATATACATATATATTCAAATTTTTATATATATATATCTCCAATCCTAAAATGAGGTGTGGAAGTGTAGATAAAAATAAAACAATGCTGGGCTTCCCTGGTGGCACACGGGGTTAAGACTCAGCACTATCAATCTATTGGCAGCCACAGAAGCACTAGTTCTATCCCAGGCCAAGGAGCTAACCCACATGCAGCAGACCTCCCCGCTGTTCCTCTCAGCAATGTTTTTCAGTAGATCTGCCTGTTCTCCCCATTCTGTTTTTGGTGAACACTTTCACACTCTCTTCACCACACTGCCCACACCTGTGGCCTACACCTTAGCTCTTGTATGCATAAATAAATAAAATAAATCTTAAAAAAAATAAAATAATGCATACAGCGATTCTCTTCTTATAGATTCACTTATTTCATTAGAATTGCATTTTTCTATTAACATTAGTGGGAATTTTCAACAAGAATGCTTTTTTGTACAACCTGCTACTTTGTCTTTTCATGTTGATAAAATAAAATATAGGAAGAAAAATAAAGAACAACATCTTTAGAATTAAGCATTAACTAAAATAAAAACATAAAACTTTTTAAACTTAACATGCAACTGAAGAAGTGAAATATAAATCAATTCTAATGTAGATTAAATATTAAAAAATAGGGAAAATACACTTAAATGATTTTTTAAAAAATATTTCAGTAGCACTGTAAAAAAGAATGCAGACAGAATACAACATGGAATGGATAAGAAAAAAAAAAATAATCACTGACTACCTGGCTAAATGGCAGACTAATGAAAATGAATTAGACCATGTAGTTTATATCACTCAATTACACCATATAACTTCTGTGAAGTATAATTTTAGATGCCCCCAAAATACAGTTGGGATATTTTCTGTAAAGGAGACGATTTAGTGTTGTTCAAAATACATTGGTAAGTAGGTGACTAAGTTTCTGGCTAGTTGTACTAAACAGTTCCTGAAAAGGACATGTGAAATCCCAAGCATGTTACAATTTGGATCCAGCAGTTTTAGGAACCATGATGATGGTAGCACTACAACCTATGCTACTACATTAAGAGAGAGAGGACTGAGTAATTTGGTGGTATCTTTCCATGCTCCATCAATAAAAAACTTTGGAACAACAACCAAAAAAAACCCTACAAGGTGCAACATAATTTCCCATATTCAGGGATTGGATATGGTCTTTCTTTTTGTTTATATCAAATATTCTTATAGTCTCAAGTTAGATAAGTCAATCATACGTAAGTTTCTAGAAACACTAGTGGAAATTATTTTATGTGCCTTAAATATAAGTACCCTCAAGTTGGTGTTATTTGGTTTACATTTTAAAGATAGGGAAAATTGAGAACAGTCTTGCAAAGTATGCAATGCATTGCAAAAATGCCTTTAGTCCCTAGAATATCAAAGTACTTTCTTTCATTTAGTAATTAAATATATAGATCGTGGTTTCCTGCAATTCATACAAATACATGTATCCTTGATCTTTAGAAATTCATGCAATCAACTGTGTCATGAAAGTCAGTCTAGAACAGAGACAAACAACCTTCAAAAGAACTCATTTTCACAATGCAACCATTGAACAAGACCTTAGCTTTTATTTTTCCATTAACCCTGTTCACACTGCACTTAACTTCATGGTTAACCAGCTGTCTTGCAACATAACACTTAAGGTTAAGAATATATGCATTGTCAAATGAGCACAGTAAAATTCACCGTAATTAACATTTATATCTCACATTAATTGAAATAAAAGTACTACAAATGGAGCATGGTCTGATAAGAATTACAGATTAGAAACAAATCAACCTTAAATATTTTCCTTAAATAATCTAAAGTCATGATTTCTGTTCTATTTTGATGAATGAGATCATAATTGATTATGAACAAACTGGATGTACAATATTCACATGATTAGTTGTCCTCTGGATACTTCCACTCAGATCTGAAAATATCTACACCCACACAGTTTACTCTCCATCTACTTTAATAGAACTTTGCTATTCTATTCTATTTATCAACATAACTTCCTTATTCTTGAAATTATTTAAATGATCATATTCAAAATTCTTTTACATAAAAGGGAAACCTTTATTTTTCCTTCCAGAAATATCTGTGGGAAAGTCAAATGTATATGACACCATTCAGTTCCTTGATAATAGTATCAAAGGACTGTTCTTTTTTCATATTTTTTAACTAAGATTTTTTTAACTTTTTCAGAACAACAAATAAATTTACACTTATGTAAAAACACTCAAAAACTTCAGATAAAAAAAATTCCCTAAGCTATTCCTTGGCCAAGCTAGAGAAAAATTAGAAGAAAATGTAAAATGATAATTAATTTCTTTTGGATCATCTACATCCTAACTAAAAACTAAATGCTTTTTATCTCTCTAACTCTTCCCTCCAATCTTTGCTCCTTATTTCCCTATGTCCCTAGTTGTTTCCTTGAACTGCTTTCTTTCCCTTTGACCTGGAAAAAGTCCAAAAACTAGGTCAAAATCACTCTTAGAACAAGAAAAGCCATTTTAAGATGTGCTGTTGCACTGAAGTAACAGCCATCATCATGTTTCTAATCCTATACAAGATCAATAGAAATTTGAAGAGGATATAAGTTAGTTATAAGAATGTATAACCAGGGTTCTTAGATATATACCAATTATTCATATGATTGGAAAACTGTTATCAAAAATTAATGGGGGTCTCCCTGGTGGCACAGGGGTTAAAGTCTGTGTGCTATCAAGCTATCATGAGACACAGTACCTGAGTTTGATCCCCAGCCAGTGATCTAACCCACATATGGCGCAGTACACCTCTCCTGTCTTGTCAACTGCTCCCTTCAGCAGTGTATTTCAGTAGGTCCTCTTGTTCTGCTCCCCGCTCTGTCTCTGGTGAATCCGTTCACTCCCTGCCTCTGGCCTCTTCCCCAGTTCTTGTATGCATAAATAAAAAATAATAAATATTAAAAAAATGATGGAAAAGATAGTATGGGAAGAATCTAAGAGTGTTTTTCAAAACTCCAAATTGAACAAAAAATCAGAAGTGTTGGAAAATCCCAAAGATGTTGAACATGGCATTTTGGAGTCTATCTAAAAATGGCTCAGTGGCTGAGTGCTGGGTTGTGAAGCTGCCCTCAGCCTCTGCAGCGCTGGTTCAATCCCCGGCTGCTCCCCGGCCACCTAAGAAGGGTCCCACATGGCACGCAGACCTCTCCTGCCACCCGCTGCTCCCCTCAGCAGTGTGCTTTGGTCCTTCTGCCTGCTCTGCTCCGCTCTCTGGCTCTGGTGAATTCTCTTACCCTCCCGTGCTTCTGACTGTACCCAGTGCTTGTATAAATAAATAAATAAATCTTAAAAAAAAAAAAAAAAGCTTTTTCTGTGAAACTATCTTGTTAGATTTAGTCCTCTGGGCAATAAAAGTTGAATCTTTTGTAGCTTTTAGAAATAGCCCTTTAACACTTTTAAATAGCCAAACATTCAGGTAGACCATAAAGCATGTGTAAACCCAGAATTTTCCTCAAATTTTGCTGATATTTGTTACTTTGCTGCAACTTAGTAGGTATTAAGGAAACTAAACTCCCAATTTCATGTTCTCTCATATTCAAAAGGAAGATTCTCTCAAAATCCTTAATGAAAACCTTGAGAAAATGACTTCCAGAAAATATGAGTAAATGCCTTACTTCTCTTTCTGTAAAAACAAGTATATGGGCAAGACACCTAAAATCAGTGTTATCAAAACTTTGGCAATTATTCAAAGCCACAGATGAATTGAAAGTCTTTTATCCAATAAAAATTACTAAACCTTGGTAAGATAGCAGGTATTATGACATTTAATCTGGGACTATTACCATACCTTCCTCTTTCCCTTTTCAATGGTTTGATTGTCAAAAATCAGTAGTAGTACAAACAGCAGAGATTACTGACTATTTTTAGGAGATTTGTTATTAGTATATAATCCACCTGCTCCATGTAGAGGATAGCTCCTGAAAATACTCTTCTAGAATCTTTCAACCTGGGATAATCCAGTATATTCCTAATATTGAATAGGGAAAACAGTTAAGAAAATGTTCAATGGTCAAAGTCAGTAATCAATACCTCTTCAAGCACTGTGTTTCTGAAGTATGTATGAAGGTGAAGGTCCTTTCCTGTCAGCTGTCAGCACAAGTGACTGCAGCTTGAACTGAAAGAGATCAGACTTTTTGTGGCAGTCATTCAGAAAGTAATGTCTCCAAATACTGTTATTTATGTTAATATTAAAAATATTGATTTTTAAAATATTATTCATTGAAAACCAACTTTTTCTATTTCCAGTGTTCTTCCCCCAAGTTTCCAATTGCAAAGCACACATAAAAATAAATGTTAAAACTTAAAAAATTTCAAAAAATTGAAATGGCTTTAATATGCTAAGATATATAGCAAGAACTAAGCAAGCAGATGGGATGAACAGTAGGCAGATTGAAACTCATATTTGATTAGCCTAAGTAATGCCATCTGACATCCAGCTATGAAATTGTAGTAAATTATATTTTCTGGATATATCCATATGAAATCTATTGGTAAAGTAAAGAAATAACATATTGAACAATCGAGGTTTACTTCTCATTCTGTCAATTCTACAGCAATTTTGGTCCATACCTAATTTTTCTTCTTAAGCAATTAAATCCAATAATGCAAAATGCCTTATGTAACAAGTCTCTGTTAAAAATATACTTAATAAAATAATGCTAATGTGCTTCCAAAAATCAACTATACACAGAGTAAAGAGTGAAAATCCCATATATATAACCAGCAATAATAAAGCCATGTCAACCTATGCAATGGTTTTGATTTGATTCTAATTACAGAAAGATGCTTAACTATCCAATGATTTTTGGGAATTCCAGCTGAATATCAAAATTGAAAGCCGGAATGTCAACTGAAAGTGTATGTTCAGTGTTGTGTTGATTATTCTCCTTTAACTTAGTAATACTAACTGAATGAATGGCAAATCACACATCCTAAGAGTAACTTTAATTATATAACATTTTCTGTGATATGCTGAAGAAATACAATGAAAATTTTAAGATTTGACTTATTTTAAAGATTTGTTAATTACTATATCTAGATTACAATAATACCACAATTCTGGGCCTCCCTGGTGGCACAAGGGGTTAAACACAGCACTATGAAGATATCTATAGCCTATGTGGCATGAGTTCGATCCATGGCAAGCCAGGGAGCTACCCATATGGTGCAGCAGATCTCTCTTGACTCACCCGCTGCTCCCCTCAGCAGTATATTTTAGTCACTTTGTCTGTTCTGTTCCCTACTCTTTCTCCAGTGAATCCTCTCACCCCCCACACCTCTGGCCTGTACCCCAGTTCTTGTATGCATAAATAAATAAATCTTTAGGGGGAAAAAAGACACCACAATTCCTTTAAAAAATTACCTGAATATTTCCAACTTACATAAAATTACTTTAGTCTTTAGTTTTGACAATCATGCTAACATTTTATCTTGCCTTTACTCTTTGAATACAATTTTCAACATTATGTTTCCTAAACCCATCAGTAAAAGAACCTAGGAATATTTTTTTTTAAACTGAGTTTGCTATACTTTTTCAATTAATAGAGGTTATGATTATGGTAAGAATTACAGGTGACATTCATGGCACATGGTCTCCAGCTTCATGGACAGCTCTACCAATGCCAAAAAAAGCCAGTAAATCATAAATTACTTCTAAGATATTTCCAATATTTTCATCACCTAACTCCCAAAAATAAAACATGAGAATTATCTGCATTAATTCCAAGAATTTCAGTGTATGTGTTTCTTTTACAGCATTTAAATGTCCCATTAAACTTATTTGTTCATATATACATGCCTCAATACACTATAAACTCCTTGAGATTAATACTTTTTTTTATTCTCAGTCTAATATACATTGCATATTGCAAATTTCTAATGAAATCAATTCCCATTTCAATTCCTCTACTTAAACATTCAGATAGCATTTAAGTGTTATTAAACATGAATGAAAATTATCTGGGATTATTCTCTGTCCATATTCAGTTCTCCTGATAAGCTCTGTAGAAAAAGGAACTAACAGTTTTCAACACTGTAGTTGAAAGTCAGTTATATATATTAAGCACAAAGTTGGTCATGACTCTGTCCAATTAATACCTAACAGGGAAAGTGTGAGGAAAGTGTGACGAAGGGGGTAAAGCGAGAAGGCGTTCAAAGGACTGTGGCAGATAACGGTTGCTTTTGTGGTAGGTGTGTTGTGGCTGCATGAATTGAAAAGATGTGGAACTATACTTCTAATCATAGGCAGTGCCATAAATCTATGTCACCTAAATATAGAATAATACACTAAAAACAATTAAATCTATGCATTAAATAAACCTCCCTGAAGTAGGAACAAATAGTCAATAAAGTGAGAATTTATAAATTCTATATCATGCAACAGTTTATGAATATGTTTTCAGAAAGAAAAATAACTGATGAGGAAAATAGCAAGTAAATTATCCAAAGTAACTACATAAAACAAAAATAACAATTGTAGATTAAAAGGGATCAATGAGTTCATAGAAACACACACAGATCCACAAACAAAACTTTATAATACATCATGGCATTTCAGAACACAAAGATAATATAAAAATTTCCTAGAAGAAAACATCAAAAACAAAACAAAAAAAATCACCCAAGTTGCCTATAGCAAAACAGATTACTCTAAAATAAGTGATAATCAAAATGAAATTAAACTTCTCATCAGCAATAATGATGATAAAAATCTAAAAAATATTAGGAAAATGATACTCAATATCAAATTATAAAATTCAGCTAAATTACTGAATAATATGGCAAAACAAAGATGTATATATGTATAAACGTATACACACACACACACACACACATTTGCTTTATATATATGAGGAAGTCCTCAGAAAGTTTTCACAATCCATATCTTGACATGTTATGTATGATAGGTTTTAGCAACAAAAGAATTTCCTTATGAAATTAAGGTAACAAAGGCTCAATCATGTAGGCAGTGAAATTATACCCCTAGAAACCCTTGCTGTTGCTTTCCTAATAAAATTATACAGAATCAGAGTCTCCCTGGTGGTGCAGGAGTTAAAGTCTCAGTGCTATCAAGCTATCACCAACTACTGCAGCATGAATTTGATCCCCAGCAAGGGAGTTAACCCACTTGGTGCAACAGACCTCTCCTATCTCACCTGCTGCAACCCTTCAGCAGTATATTTCAATAGGTCCACCTGTTCTGGTCCCCACTCTGTCTCTGGTGAATTTTCTCAGTCCACCCCCCTGCACCTCTGGCCTACAACCCAGTTCTTGTATGCATAAATTAAAAAAATTATATAGAATCAACATAGAATTTCCAAGAGGAATGTTGTCAAAGGATAGTAGCATCTAACAATTCAGAATTTAAAATCACGTAAGAAGATTTTAAGACTAGTAGAAAAAGGAAGAATATTGAATAACAACATTTTGAACAATTTTGCATTAGTGTATGTATAGTGTGACAATATTAACAAATTTTATTTCAAATTTGATTCAATATACTCATTTAATATTAATAACAATAACACTAAGAATACATTTCATATAATCTAAGATTTACTTGAGTTTAAGATACACCATCACATCATGGATTCCAAAGGTCAATCTATTGTAAGATATACTATTCATTTATTACCATAGAGAAAAACACTAAAATACCATCCTTGACCAATGGTAAAAGACTACATATTAAAGGTGATGAAAGAGGGAAAATTGTAACAATAACTAATACTTATAAAACAATTATGTGCCTAGTTCTTGTTCTTTTTATACATAAACTAATAGCATTTTAATAGTCATTCTATAAATTGTGTTCTATTTTTTCAGCTTTCCTCAAATGAGTAAACAGAGGTGAAAAGAAATTAAGCCCCCCCCAACCAAGACAGCAGTTCTAGAAGACCTTAGAGCAATTATTGAAACCAATTATTAATGTAGACACAAGAAACAAATATAAAGCATTCCTTGAATTTACAAAGGAGACAGTATAAGATGATATATATATATATATCTGTCCTGCAATGTATGTTGTCTGGGTGTCATGAATTATGTTAAAATAAACTTTATTATAACAGGCATTGAATGTGTAATGGTAAAGCATATTATTTAGTAAAATGCAAATAGTGTGAAAGAAAAGACAAACTAAGAAAATGCAAAATAAACGAATCTGAAGAGCAGAAGTAAAATAGATGAAGTGGGATACTATTAATTTTTAAAGTTTTTTATTATAATATTCTTAATATTTATGTATCAACTTCATAAAACTAAAATGTATACTTATTTAATTATAAATTCTACAATTTAAAAATAACATGAAAATCCATTTATCAAAACTTAATAGAACTCTCCAGTTCTTCATGATGTGATTCTTGTTCATTCTCCTCATCATATTGCTACTAACTCAAATTACTAAAGAACAAATTCCAAAGCTAAAATTGACGTGCAAACTTCCTAAGAACTGGTTAAAGTAATGTCAGCTTCATCATTCTGCTAAGGAATTTTCCACTTGCCTTAACCTCTTTGCTTCTTAAATCTTCTCATAGAAACCTTTCACCTCAGGTCTATAAATTTGTGAAAACTACTTTATCACAGATTGCTCCCTTGATTTTGTAGGTTTAATTTTTTCTCTAATCTTTATTTCATTAATCCTTTGACTCTTAAACTCTTTCTCACTCTCAGTTTATATTATTTTCCCAAGGTTGCCTTCCATGAGTGGACATAACTTTTGCTATAACTTGTAATTGAGTTTGAGATACTCTGTTTATAGCTGCCTTATAAGGCTGTCATAAGCAGCACCAAATCAAAAAAAGTGACAGTGATAAATTTTTTAGCTAATTTGTTTCTAGGTTTAGTGCTGTCATTATTTATTGAAAGGTTTTTAAGGGATTAGGAAAATTTATAAGTGGTAAAAATATATAATATATTCCCACCTTATTCAGAATATAATTGTTAATACATTTCAGATAGAAGGAATACCATTCCCTTGTTAAATGATATTTAGAATCTTCTTTTTCCAAAATAACCTGCTTTAAATATTGATACATATTTGAACTTGAATTCTTCAAGTGAGCCAAATATATACAATTACATTTTATATCTTTTAAATCATCAT